GCGAAATTGCCTTCACGACGTCCCCGACAGGCCAACCACGATATCCAAACCAACACCCATGAGGCCTCTGACCAACCAACCAGGGCACGGTGGCGGGAGCAGTGGCAACACTTGTGCACAGCATGTTCCGGCGGGAGCCTTCCGGAACACGCTGCAGGAGGAGGAGGAGGAGGAAAATCAGGAGGAGAGAGAGTTGGAGCGGGAGGAGGAGGGGGATGGGGACGAGGAGGACGAAGAGGCCTCCCAGACAGTTCCAAGATAACCGAAGAGGCTTCCAAGAGGGCCCTGCGCGGCCCACGAGGGCCCCAAGGCGGTGCCTGATGCGCCCAAGACGTCCCGAGAGGGCCCCAAGACGGCCCCAAAGGAGGCCCAAGAAGGGAAACACGAACCGAGAATCCGAGCTTTCTACCCCGAGAGGTTCTCGGGAAGTCCCAAGGGGCCCCCAATCGGATCCAAGAGGCCCCCAAAAAACTCCCAAGAGGGCCGACGAGGTTCCAAGAAATCTCCCAAGGTGGCCCCACTTGCGCCTCATAGTTTTACGATTGGGCTTTGACGGGTTTTAATTTTGTTCGGCCTTTTGGCATCCCGATGCTCCAAGACGGCCCAAGAGGCTTCCAATACCGCTCCCATATAGATGGAGAGGCCTCCAAGAAATCCCCAAGACGGCCCGCGAGGGCCCCAAGACGGTGCTTGAGGCGCCCAAGACGGCCCGAGAGGGCCCCAAGAGCCCCAAGAGAGGCCCAAGAAGGGGAACGCGACCCAGCAGCAAAACTGTCCCCCCAAAAGGCCCACAGGAGGCCGCAAGAGGCCCCCAAGTGGTCCGACGAGGACCCCAAAAGCTTCCCGAGAGCCTAAAAGGCCCCTAGGAGACGTCCAAGAGGCTTTAAAATAGCCCAAGAGTGCCCTCGATGCGTCAAAACTGCTTCCAGGAGGCCCCCGGGAGGTTTCCGGATTGCCTCAATCTGGCCGCAGGTGGCCTCAAGTCGGGCTTCCACGCAGCCAAGACGGCCAATGAAAGCTTCAGATTGCAGAACCGATGCTCCCAAGGGACCCTCAGACGCTCCCCAAGAAGCACGCAAGAGGTGCTTCCATCAGCCGGTTGACGAAGCATGCGGAACACCCCAGAAACTCCTCAGATGCCGCCGCGCGCCTGTGCTTGATATCGTTGTCCACGATCGTCCAGCGCCCCCCTGGCCTGGGCTAGAACCTGAGCGCGCGCGAAGCGCGCGCGATGGTTCTAGCCCAGGGGCCCGAAAACAGCTGCCCGACCTTCCAGTACCGGGGCTCATTTTCGCTGTGCTTTTACGCGGTTCCGGCGTCCCGGGCCTCGAAGGCCGCCGCGATGCTCGCGGACATTTTCCAGATCCTCGGCGCGGGCTCCAAGACCATTCCGCAGAGGGCTCCAACAGGCTCCAGGGCAGCCCAAGAGGGCTCCAAGACGGCTCCAGGAACGACTGCGGGGTCTCAGTTTTTCTGTGTTTTCTGCAAGACGGCTCCAGGAATACTGCATGTCTTATGAGGATGGCTTCCGCCTCTTGCCCCGAGCATCCCAAACTGCCTGAACGGTCTCCACTCGCCTTCCCCAAACCCAGCGCTTGCCCAAGCGCGTTCCGGACGGTCTTCGCCGGAACGCGCTGGACTGATCACGCGCTGCGGTTTCCCATGCCGACGTCCTCGGACGTGGGCGCCCTGCCACGAGCGCGTTCCGGGAAGATGCTCCCTGAACGCGCTGAAAAGATATGGCCACATCTCGGGGACGTTCCCGGCACCGCTGCCCCAGCCTTTCCGGCAGCCTCCACAGCGCTCCAGGAGGGCCCAAGACGCCCCCCATGAGCCCCCAGAATACGAAAGGATGGCCCAAAACGCTCCCGAGCAGCCCAAGTCAGCCTTCCGACGGCTCTCGAGGCTTCCAGGTGGCCTCCAAGAGACCCCAAGAAGTCTGATAGGTATCACGGTACGGCCCGAAGAGGCCAAAGTCGTATATGTTCAATGGTCTTTTCAATGTTTTTGGCTTCTCGCGTTTTCGAGCTTCCAACGGTCCAAGAGCGCCGAAGAGCCGCCATGGGGGTACCGGGGCTCATTTTCCGTGTGGTTTTACAGGGTTTCCGCGTCCTGGGCCTCTGAAGCCGCCGCCTCCGACCCCCCATGGGAGGACGGGGCGGCCGGGGAGGTCCGAAATAGTCCAGGAGGGCCTCCAGAGGCTCCCAAGATGGCCCAAGCGGGCCCCGAGTCGCCGAAAGACTGCTCCAGGACGCCCAAGATAGGCCCAAGACGGCCCGAGAGGCCCCCCAAGGCACTCCACGACGCGTCAAGACGCCTCTGCAGAGCGCTTCCAGAGGCCGAAATCGTCAATTGTACGAAGGTTTTCGAACGACTTTGGCCTGCCAGCCTTTTCGGCTGTCCGACGTTCCAAGACGGCTCCATAGGCCCCCAAGGGCGCCCCAAGACGGCCCAAGAGGGCCCCAAGACGGCCCCAGAGTCGCCCAAGACAGCCCAACAGAGCCCCAAGATGCGCCCAAGAGGGGGACCACGACTCCAAAATTCGACCCTCCCGCTTGAAGAGTGCCCAAGGAGCCCCCAAGAGGCCCCAGGAGGCCCCCAGGAGGCACCCAGGAGGTCCAAACGAGGCCTAACCCACAACGTCCCAAAACGGCTACCGAGAAGCTGCGAAATTGCCTTCACGACGTCCCCGACAGGCCAACCACGAGATCCACACCAACACCCATGAGGCCTCTGACCCACCACCCAGGGCACGGTGGCGGGAGCAGTGACAGCACTTGTGCACAGCATGTTCTGGCGGGAGCCTTCCGGAACACGCTGCAGGAGGAGGAGGAGGAAGATCACGAGGAGAGAGAGTTGGAGTGGGAGGAGGAGGAGGAGGAGGAGGAGGAGGAGGAGGAGGAGGAGGAGGAGGGGGACGAGGAGGAGGAAGAGGCCTCCCAGACAGCTCCAAGATAGCCGAAGAGGCTTCCAAGAGGGCCCTGGGCGGCCCACGAGGGCCCCAAGGCGGTGCCTGAGGCGCCCAAGACGGCCCGAGAGGGCCCCAAGACGGCCCCAAGAGAGGCCCAAGAAGGGAAACACGAACCGAGAATCCGAGCTTTCTACCCCGAGAGGTTCTCGGGAAGTCCCAGAGGCCCCCAATCGGATCCAAGAGGCCCCCAAGAAGCTCCCAAGAGGGCCGACGAGGTTCCAAGAGATCTCCCAAGGTGGCCCCAAGAGGCACAACTCATTGTTTTACGATTGGGCTTTGACGGGTTTAATGTTTTCGGCCTTTTGGCATCCCGATGCTCCAAGACGGCCCAAGAGGCTTCCAATACCGCTCCCATATAGAGGAAGAGGACTCCAAGAGGGCCCCAAGACGGCCCGCGAGGGCCCCAAGACGGTGCTTGAGGCGCCCAAGACGGCCCGAGAGGGCCCCAAGAGCCCCAAGAGAGGCCCAAGAAGGGGAACGCGACCCAACAGCAGATCGGTCCCCCCACAAGGCACACAGGAGGCCGCAAGAGGCCCCCAAGTGGTCCGACGAGGACCCCAATAGCTTCCCGAGGGCCTAAGAGGCCCCTAGGAGACGTCCAAGAGGCTTTAAGATAGCCCAAGAGTGCCCTCGATGCGTCAAAACTGCTTCCAGGAGGCCCCCGGGAGGCTTCCGGATTGCCTCAACCCTGAGCATCCGGCACCCACAGAAAAGAAATGATAAGTTATGTTTAAGTTCTGCACCTTAACTTAAAATGAACTTACCTTAGAACGTACTTAAGTTACTTAGTTCGTACCTCAATTTAGACTTAGAACAAACTTAGAATTGCACTTAAAACGCACTTAGTTTGCACTTAGTTTGCACTTAGTTTTTGGCCTGGTGTTGGGATGTTGTTTCGCAGTTAACGTATGCGGGCACAGCCGCGAAGTTTGAGCTACGTCATGCCACGTCTGCTAATCAGCGTTATCTTTCCGATGTTTTTCGGCCCCTCGGTTTCTGGATTTCTGGTTGAAGGGCTTCGTTGGCCCATGGGCCCCTAGGATCCTGATGGGTCCCAGGGGCCAGGGGCGCGCGCCTGGACTCCTTGGGTCTTGGATTCCTGGGTTCCTGTGCCCTGGTGGGAGAGCGAGGAGGAGGAGGAGGAGGAGGAGGAGGAGGAGGAGGAGCCATTGCCGTTTTGGCTCAAGCCATTCAGAGGGCATCTCCATCTGACGAGAAAGGATCCACTTTTTGGACACGGCTTCTGATGAAGCGCCCAGCTGCGGCCAAGGCGATGCCCGCGGCGAAGGTTCGCAGGCCAGCTGATTGGCACGAGCAGGACAAACACGAGGAGGAGGACGACACCGACGAGGGGCCTCTGGTGAGCATCGCCGCCACGCGCGGCAAGGGCAAGAACACCCTCAAAGACGACGAGGACGCAGAGGACGGAGCAGCTGATTCCCGCACGACGACTCGTGCCCAGAGGCACACCTTCGCGAAGAATCGCCACCTCTTCGATCAGGCCTTGGTGGCCCAGTTCGACAAGCTGATGGACACAGCCAACAAGACCGTCGGCAAGCAGGCGCAGATCAACCAGATCATCAACAGCTGCGTCACGAGGAAGGCTGCTGGCGGTGTGGGTGTCTTGATCAAGACACGCTCGGTGAAGCGCTTCCAGCGCAGCATGATGCGCGACGAGAACAAGGAGACGGCGCACGGCCTTGGATGGTGGAGTCTCGTCGGGACGAAGTTCGGCGGCTCCGAGTCCTTGGCGCAGAAAGCGCTCGACGCAGGGGAGGTCTACCAGGCAGAGGACACGGGGCTCTACTACCAGAAGTCCCACACCATCGAGCGGACGAGAGCCCAGGAGAAGGGCTACAAGGGCGAGGAGGACGCGGGCGGCCTGCTCTCGACGGACGAGTTCGCGCAGGCGTTGTGCGACCAGGAGGAGCAGCTCACCGCGGCGCCTCTCGGCGACTGGTTCAAGCAGTGCCAGAAGGGGGGCCCCAAGAAGATCGCGGGGGCGCAGGCGGACGACGGCGACTTCACGGTCATGCAGGACTCCTACTCCTACTCGTACTCCTAGTGTTATTCCAACCCTACTGATACTCCTACTCTTACTCATGCTCCTACCCCCCCTCCTCCCACTCATAATCCTGAGAGGGAGTGGGAGGAGAGGTAGGTGGGGGAAGGTGCATGGGGTATGAGTAGGAGTGGGAGTGGGTGCTACCCGCAGGAGAGCTTCGACGCGGTCTCGAGGGTGACTCTGGCCCTGCGCCGCTTGGGCACCAAGATGATGGCCGCCGTGGGCAACTCCGAGACCACGAAGCTGATGTCTGGGAGGGCCATCAGTTTGTGCAAGGCCGTGGCGGGGCCTAGCGAGGCCATCGAGGGCCTCCTGGTGGCCCAGGGCGAGGCCAAGCGCAACATCTCGAAGGCGGACGTGGCGGAGGCTCTCAAAGCCGTGGGCGTCCCGTACAAGCAGATGGTCGAGCTCTTCAATGAGATCGTGATCCAGGTGAAGTCCGCGGCCAAGGGCAGCAAGGCCGCCGACGCGGCCAAGGGCTTGAAGCCGATCAAGCTTTAGGTCAGCGCTGAGGGCGCTTCGAAGAGAATGAGAAGGATAGAAGGATGAGGTTTTCGTTTCAAAAATGGTTGGGTGCGTTTGGCGCAACCAGTGGGGCCGAGTCGATTTTGGCCCCCAGGGGCTGATTAAGGATTGCACCGAGCGAAGCTACGTTTCGATTGAGCCGAGTGCTCGACGCGGCGCACGGCGCCCCGCGCGCAGGACGGTGCACGGCGCCCCGCGCGCAGGAGGCCGAGGCAGCACGGTTCGCCTCGTGCTACTCCCTTTTTCTTTCTTCTCAACCCCTGCTACTAATCCCCTCCTGACCCTGATTCTCGCACTCGTTCTGATCGCCCTCTCCCCGTCCTGCCGCTCGCCCCATCTCGGGGCCCCTCTGGCTGCCTGCCGTTCCCGCTCGGCGCGATTGCCGCGCCGCCTGGTCTCGCCCTCGTCTCGGGCAACAGAGCCCCGACCGAGCCCGCGAGAAGCGAGCGAGCCCAGCGATGGGCCCAGCAGAAAACATGTGTAAAATCTTGTGCGCTGAAACAACTGGCCCCTGAAGGGAGCCCTGGGGCCCTGAAATCACGTGGCCCATGGGGCCCCGACAAGGGAACCTGGGGGCCACAAAGGAATCCTGGTGACCATGTCGCAGATATGTTTTAGATATGTTGTAGATTCGTTGTAGATTTTGAAATCTACAACGAATCTACAACGCGATGGTGTAGATGCTTCGTAAATTTCAAAATCGACACCGAATCTACATCGCTCATCCTTGAACAGCTGTCTGTAAGGTTAGTCTCACGTGCGTTCAGAGTGTCACAGTTGTTCAGGGTCTGTCTGAAAGTCTGAATCGAAAGAGCGGGGCGGGGCGAAAAGGCCAACATTCGCACCCCTCCTTATCATCGTAGCCGTTTTGGCTCAGCTGGCTTCCTTTGACGAGCCCTGAGCTTTACAATGGGATCGAAACGCCCTCGCCAGGTTGCGAACCCAGATGTTGCAGAATCCGACTACGTGTCTTGCTTGAAAGATTTCGCTGGCGGTAGATCCCTCGAGTCCGTGCTGCAGCCTTTGAACGCAGATATCAATAGGTTGACACCTGTTCATGTGGTCAGATCGTATAAGCTGTTATAGTCGTTGATGAAAAAAGGAGTGTGTAATGGAGTTATATGGACGTCTCGGTTCATGATAGCTACAAAGGCGGTGTGCAGTGACGGAAGTGAGCTCACTGCGACGAACATCACCGATCACGTCAGGAATTGCTTCAGCATGGTTAGGCAGATCAAGTTGGACGAAACTTCGAGCAACGGTAAGACCCGCTCCAGGAAGTCGTCGCCATTCCTGCGGCAGTGCGGGGCCGCCGACAGATTCGTGATCGACGCCCTCGTCGGAATGATGAAGCTCGCGCAGCTGAGCGATGTACCCATCAAGACGCCCGATCCCAAGAAGCCTGTGGATTCGCCGCTATCAGGTTCGGCGCCGCCAATGTCCCCGACCCCGCGCGGCGCGGCTCTATCAGACAGCGGTTCGATGCGTGACTTGTTCAAGACAGGCTTGCGACAGGTCGAGGATATGGAGCGTGACTTGGCCGAGTGTTCAAGCTTGGCGTCGCTGGCGACAGTGCCGTCTACCATAGCTTACCCAGAGCACGCGGCGAAGTTCGATGAAGATGGGTTTCCACAGATGTCACCGAGATCTGACATATCTGTGGTATCTCAGCCATCGTGTCGCTCTATTGCACCGTCTCGTTCGATGAGCATGCAAGACTTCATCGACGGCCACGAGATTATCGACGCCCCCGATGTTGGCCCAGAGAAAACATCGAAGCCCGACAAATTCGACGAGCCACCAGACCTTTGCACGCAGCGCCGCAGGAAGGAGATTCTTCGCGTGCGCAAGGAGGCCAAGGCGACGCAGTCTATCACGGACCGTGCCAAGAAGCTTACGGTGCCAGATCCCAAGAAAAAAACAACCATCAAGACAACGGGCGACCCCCCCCCCCCCCCCGAGGATCGCAAGCTCATCAATCCGAAGTTGGCGAAGACAAAGGACGGGCCTTGTAAACGTGAGAGAGTTCTGGCAGAGGGAAGAGGGTGAAAGGAATCCCCGCCCTCCGATCCCCCCCCCCCCCCCTCCCCCGAAAAAAACAAAACGAAACGCAGCCCCCACCGCCGCGACGGCGATGGGGGGGGGGGGGAAGGGGGTGGTGATGCGGAAGCCGAGGCCTTCTTCACCCTGCTCCCTCAGCCCGACACTCTCACCCCCCGCCCCAAAACAAACTTCGCTCGAAGAGGTAAAATGAGGAGGAGGATGAGGACGAGAGGGACTAGATTGAGCAATTCCATAAGGACGGTCGCTTTGAGATCACCGCGAAGGGTCTCCAGACGGGGAAGAGGATCCACGTGACTACGGTACTGAAATCAAAATACGGGGCGTCGGCTGAAGCCGACATGGAAGCAGTTGTGAAACACATACAGGAGACGCAATGTTCGAAGGCCGAGGCTATTGCATTTCGAAACAGCCTCCGTTCCGCCTGAGATCGAGTTGCTTACCGCACTAGCTGGCGCCCGCTCGTGCAGGGGTTGCTGGGGGGCGCTTGCGCGTGCTAGGGGTTATGCGAAGCATTGCTGCGTACTACATCCGATGCTGTAGTGACTAGATACCGCGCCAAAGTGGAGCAAGGGAGAATGGTAAAAATGTATGTTTCATGTTATGTGTATGTAGCTCTTGATTCCAATTCTGTTCATTCCTCATAAGTTTATAAGAAAGGTTATCACACAAGTTATGTGATTTACGTCGTCGCTAACATATTTCACGTCACGGCGTTACGTTGCGTCGCCGATTGTGCAACGTTCGGTTACTTGTTTGCGCGATGGATTGCAGGGAAGTTACAGTGTTGTGAGAATGTGTGAAATCGTATGTTGTAGATTCGTTGTAGATTTTGAAATCTACAACGAATCTACAACATTATGTTGTAGATTCGTTGTAGATTCCGAAATCTATAACGAATCTACAACGTCATGTTGTAGATTCGTTGTAGATTTCAAAATCTACAACGAATCTACAACATAGATTTTCACGTTTTGAACACTTTTTTTTCAACATTGTTCCATTTCAGTCCGTTATTTTTTGTAATTGATTTTCATCAGTAGATTTTTTTCGAATCATCGTTCGTAAATTATTAACGTGTGTTTCCCCTCCGTAAGCAAATTCGATCGCGCCCCGTCAGCGACCTCCACTGGGGCCTCGTGGGAAGCGGTTTTTTGGATAGGATGTGGTATAATTTCATAGGATTTATTTCACGTTTATACCACCCACAATGTTTACGCGAACATGAGGGGTTTCAAGATTGTATATGTCTTATGAAATTGGGACCCTCTTGGGGCCCTCCTGGCCCCCTGCGGTCTACATCATCGATTTCGAAGTAACCGAACCCCGAAAGCTACGTTGTTGATTTTTTTTTGACAGATATCTCAAGCCATTTGAAAAAGCATACCCTTTGATACATCATACCATTTGGACAGATACCTCAAACCAGTTGTTGATATTTTGACAGATAACCTTTTTACGGCGTGTTCCAACGCATCTTTCGGAACACATTTGTTTTTAGATATTTATTTAGGGTTCTCGTCGCGAAGCAACCGTCCCTACGAACATCCCAGGGCACAGCCCCTACATAATCCATGCAACACTGATGTATTCGGAGCCTTTTCAAAAGACACGCTGGGGAAAACAAAACAACACAAGATTCTAAAACAAAATACGAGGGCGGGCCCGAAACGATTTGGCATCCACCGACACGCCGGACACATCCAGCAAACACTGATTGCACCTCGAGGGCGTTCTTGATTGGCAGACTGGCAACCTGCATAACATGGAAAGGCATATGCATTACCCACACAACGGACACGGCCTCGCCACTCGACCCTTGGGTTCGACGTCTGGGAGAGGGAGCGGTGCCCGACGCGGGCCCGAAAGTGATCGTTGTCGCGCGAGGATCGAGGATCGAGGATCGCCCCTTGGTTTTCCAGACTTGCCCCTGATGGTGCTTTCCGATATTTTTTGGTCCTGGAATCCCTGGGCGGCCCCTGGGTCGCGGGAGGTTTTCGGCAGGTCCTCGGGGCGCCTTTTGGCGGAGCCCCGCGGCGCGCCGCGCCCGCTTGCCGTCGAGAGCGGGCGGGAGGGGAGGGCTGTGCAGGCGCTCGATTTGGCTCGGTCGTTCAACAGGCTCGTGTCGGGGCCAAGCAAACGCAACATCCATAGTCATCGCACGCCCGACCCCCTTCGAATCGGCAACTCCGTCCATTGCAGCATCGCTGGATCAGTAGCCGTATTGGCTCACGCATTGCGCGCGCAATCTTGTGACACTCCGCCTCCATATAGATGCCGTTCACGCGATGAAAAGATTGGGCGGTGGTAGACAGCAGCGCAAAAGGAAACTCGAAGAAGTTGAGATATCCAGTAGTGCACAGCCCAGCGTCGATCCT